CTTTCGTACGATATGAAGTAAAAAAAAAAAAAAAAATTTCGGTCATGAGTTATTTACTTTTATTTAGTTTTATATATATTTAAATACAAAATTTTATTATTGCCATTACTCTTATGTTTTTTTACGTAATTTAGTGTTTCTGCTGACACCTTAATTTATTTGTCTGGGCGAAATGTTCATTCTAAGGTATGGTTCTTTTTATTTGACGCGTCTCAATTTATTTTTATTATTTTATATTAGAATTTTGTTTGTTTATTGGAGATCAGAAAATTGTTAATTTAATAAAGTATATGTACAATTAGTCTTAATAAAGACTTAGTCATTTATTTTATTAATGCAACGCAACAAAAAAAATATTGTAATAAACGTTATCTCAAAAATTCTAGATAATTTCTCTATTTAAATTCTCTTGATTTTCCTTCTTTTCCAACTCTTTATCAATCCAGTTGTTAATTGCCGTTATTGTTCTATCACATTTAGGAATATCAATACCATTGTACAAACGAGATACCATAGACTGATTAAAACCGATATTTTGTGTTGAAATTTCTCGTATTTCACGAGCTATTCTGTATTGACTTGGGGAATCAGTATTTTTTCTATAATCCATAACTATTTTAAAATTTTTTATTATTCTTGATTCTTCATTTGTAAAAGTTCGTTTCTTTTTGGGTTGCCATTGCTCGTTCAATTCATTTTGATCTTGATTCTGTTGGCCAAAACTAGATTATATAATTATTTAGTATCAGAATAATTATTTTATTATCATTATTATTAAATAAGATGCAAAACTTTTACCTTCTACACATTAACCTCTCAGCAATTAAGTTTTGTGTTGATTTTAAGGTTTGAGTACGAACATAAATATATTCATCAATTGGGAGATTTTTTTTACCAATATCAAAATTTTTAACTATATTATTTTCTACCTCAACAGTCGCTGTTGTACGCCTGGTTCTGTTTTTTATTGCTGGAATTAAGTTACTCCACAAAATAATTGTTTTCCACCAAAATCTTTCTAGATAATTCTTTAAATTGATACTATAGAAAGGATTTATAATTGATTGTGTTGTTATATCTAGTTGTACATTAATATTTATACCCAGTTGTAATATCAATAGTTCGTAACTATTATAATTTTGTATGATTTTTAATAAAGGATCGCCCATAATAGTATACGTCCAAGTATTATTTATTTTGTCAGAATTTAGTGGTAAATTTTGTGGATATACTGCTAAATCTAGATCTTCGAGATTCTGATTTGATTCAAAATCTATACTTGGCAAATCATGTAAACTTATTTCACCAAAATTGTCACGAAATCTATTTTTTTTAATTAACGACACCCTTTTATTAATTAATTCTAAATTTTTTTGTATCATCAACCATTCCCATCTATCTATTTCATTTTCTATTTCATCAATATTCTCTTTTACTCTTACTGAATTCCATACTCGCATAGCAAATTTTGCTAAAATTTCTCTACTACCACCTTCTTCAATTGTAAATTTCTTTGATCTAATGTGATGGCGCACTGCCCTTATAGCATGACCATAACACCATCCAACCAATACTTTTGAACTATCAAATTCTTCATTTGTTATAATAGTATTAATAATTCTATTAAAATATTGTTCTGGAGTTTCATTATTATATTCTTTTAATACTGCAACCAGTAAATTACGTGCACAATCAGTATTTATTAAGTAGGGAACTGAATTAGAATTAAATAATTGTAATTCTTTTTGTCGGTAAATGTGTAAATAATGCTGAAGATTATTAGCAGATAGATCATTAGTTACAAGTTCAAATACATCTACTGGAGGCGCATCTGATTTTTTACCTAATAATGGCATTGTAAAAAATGCATTCAAGATTCTCTTGTAATTTTCTGTAGTATTATTTATACTTGTGAGACAATATGGAATTGACTTTACTAATTGTCCCGTATAATCTAGAAAAATTCCTGGATTTTCATGCACATGATCATGATAGTAAACAATTGCAGCTTCATTAAATATTGGTATTGATAATGGTTGAGTTTGAATAGGTTCTTGAATAAAGCCCCATATCCGGCGTTTAACTGCAGATTTTGAACCATTTATTCTAAGAAATTCATCTTTTTCTTTTCTGTTAATATCTAAAATTGCTGCATGAAGTCGTTCACATAAATTATAACCTAGCTGTTTGTTTGTTTTTTTAGCCGAATTGATCATCCTTGCAGAATTGGCTGATGGTATACCTTGTCGATTACCAGTATATCTAATTTCACTTTTAACAGTTGATAAAATTTGCTTTCGAATATTACGAGGTGATTTACAATCAAATTCCATTAATTTCTGTCTAGATAACCCACGACATTGTCCAAATGTTTTTCCTTCTAAGTGCTTACATTGGTTTTTATTAAGTGAAAATATTACAGAAATATTGACTAAATTTTCAGAACTAATTAAATCAAGTTTATTAATTGCTATTTTAAACGTAACCTTTTCATTTATATTACATCCACCACAATAACAATACTTTGTTAGAATTTTGTTTGATTCATATGTTTTTTTAACAGTTATGGATATTTGTGGTGGGAATTCTGACTGTTTTCTGAGTAATTCAACCAAATAATAATTGCTAACTTGCCACGACCTCCAATAATAATTGGGTTCTTGATCATCAATAACGCATAAAATTAATTTATCTAATGCATCTTTTCGAGTAATTGTAAATTGAAAATCTTTAGCTTCTTGATAAATTAAATAGCCATTAATATTTTCAACATTAGGTATAAATGAACTATCAATACCCATAAATAATCCTGCTAAGTTTTGATTTTGTTTTCTTTTATCATTTTCAATAACGGGTTGCAATTGATGATCATTCTTGATAGAGGATTGATAATTATCATCATCATCATTATATACCGATTGGAAATTATAATTATAATCTTCACACTTAATTTCATCATAAACAGGCTCTTTGTCTTTAGCGATAGATAAACAATTTTGCATAACAAGTAATTCATCATCTTTAATGATAGATAAATCAATAAAATTATTTTGTGAGAATGGTAAGTCTTGTATAAAATTATTTTTTCTTTTAAAAACTGGTACGAAATGATTTGCTTGGTAAGTCATTTGAAATTGTTTTGCGGAACAGGAACTCCACATAATAATACATTTAGGCAAATCTTTCGTATTTTGTCTTGGTAAAATTATGCGATTATAAATCTGGTTCATAAATTTATTATTCGTATTTGGAAAAAGAGACTCAATTGGTCTATGTAATACCGATGCTAGTCCAAAAAATGCTATCATAGAATTCCAGGAATTTGGTTTACACATCAATTTTAATTCTGAAATATATTCGCTCTCTTTCTTAAAACCATAATTATTATTTATAATTCTACTATTTCCACTATTCAATGCTTCTTCCCGATAAATAATATCCTGTTCAAAAATTTTTTGTTGCAAATAAAATTGGGAGTGTATCATTAATTCAACCATTACAGCTAATCGCAACTGAATATTAAAATTTTCATTTCCAAATACAATTAAAGAAGCACTATTAAAAAAGCAGTTTCCATCGGGAGTTGATCTTATACAAACACAATCTTTATATTTTTCTGGGAGCAATTTCATTGCTTCGTAATCTTGCTTATCATCATCCCACTCTTCATTAATATCAAAACTATTGGGTAATATATCAGCGCTATCAAATTGAACGCCATAATTAATAACCTCGCTAAGTGTAATATCATTTCTATCAAGAAAATTAAAAATAGTGTGTAAAGTATTTGTAGCAGTAATAGATTCCATTTTATTTGGTTTATATAAAAATATTCAGAACGATAGTAAATACAGTAAATTTGTAAAATAAATTTACAAAGTTTTACGAAGTTAAAAATTTTTTGCATTAGAAATTTATCATATTTATAGTATAGCGCTATAAACTTTAAAAGCAGGTTTTATTTAGGTACAAAAATAAATCTTTAGATTTGTTATTTTAACATATTACGAAATATTAAAAAAAAGTAAATTCACATTTTTTTCATTACGTTAAAAAAGTAAATTGACATTTTTTCATTGCGTCATGAAAAGCAAATCAAGATAAATTAGCATGCTACAAAGTATTAAAAAAAAGTAATTTCATAGTATTACCTCCTTTTCCTTAGTTATCGTAAAATCTACTTTCTCACGAAAGGAATGTGGTCTGTGTGTATTTATTTTAACAATATAATAGATATTTGATAAACATAAACATACAAGCCACAGTTTAAATCCAAAAAGGGTGATTCTCAGGGGTAAAATTATTTACTTTCGGATTGCACGGAATTCCGAAAATTTCGGAAATTTTCTTAGGAAAAATACATGATTATCATTTTTTAACTAAAAAAGTCATTTTTTTGATTTTTTAATTACAGAAACGTCAAGCCTGACGTTTTTTAACTAAAAAAGTCATTTTTTTGATTTTTTAATTACAAAAACGTCAAGCCTGACGTTTTTCAACTAAAAAAGTCATTTTTTTGATTTTTTAATTACAAAAACGTCAAGTCTGACGTTTTTAATAAAAAATCAATTTTTTTTATATTTAATTATAAAAACGTTTGATGACCCGACCCAAAATTTTCGAGTCAATCTGACAGTATAATGATTATAACTCACTAATAATTACCAAGTTACTCTAGTTATGTTATAAAGTGTTACCTGTGTTACTTAATTGCCAAGGGAATAAAAAATGTGTGGATTAGTTGAACATGCGTCTTCGGCAACTACTAATTAAAGTTTAAACGACATGTAGATTTATAAAATATGATCTAGTGTTCAATATATAAATGGGGACTTTATTCATAAAAAAACTTATATTTTTATATATTTTTGTTTATACAGAAAAATTAATATGTAAATTTTTTATAACCACGGCACTCTTCGAACAGCAAACGAAAATGATCTAAGTTTTTGCGTAAGATATAATCTTCGTCGGCAACTGATATTTATCTATGTCACAATAATCGAAACTTGATAAGTCAAAATGTTCAGGATCCAAACAATTTGATTCATTATCTTTATCAAAATTTATATCACAATAATTATAACTTGCCAAGTCAGAATGTTCATTTTCTAGTTCCTCTATAATTTTACTTTCATTGAGTTCTGAATGACTTGATTCGTTATTGTTCTCGGAATCAATGAGATGAATATTGTCAAGTTCCAAAATTACTTCATTAATATCTGGCCTTTTTTGTGGTTCGTGTTGCCAACATTCTTTATAAATAATATATGATTAGAATGTAATGAAAAAATCATCATTATAGTATAATTTATACCACTTACTATCATAAAGAGTAACTAATGAATTTACTATTTGTGTTCGGGATAGGAATTTCTCTTTCACCATCAATAATTCCAAGGATAATTAACGTAATTTGATTTCGATCAAATTTATTCTTAAAATCAAAAGGCGATGAACAACTTGTTAATTCCCAATATACTACTCCTAAACTATATATGTCTGATTTTTTAGTTAATTCGTAACTTTTGTTATCGTGAACTTTAGGATCCATGTAGGGAATTATGCCACGTGGTTTGATGAATTAAGATATTTTTGGGATGCTAAAAAAAAGAAATATGTTAATTGTGTTATTCAAAAAATTTACCCGAAGATGTGTAAAGCATGATAATATAAATATTCTTACAAGTTCTCCGTGTATAATGTCACTATCATGCAACCACAAAACCGCCCATGCAATTTCTTTGGCAAACTTTAACTGGATTTCCCATTTAATTTTAGTCTTAACATTGTCACTTAAATATTTTTCTAATGTTCCGCCGTCTGCATATTCAAGAACAAGCGAATAATTTTTTTCGTCTAAAAATAAAAAATATGAAGTAAATGAAATACATAAGTATCACACACTAAAAATTTTACCTTCTAATTCCGTGACTCCATAAAAATGAATTATAGATGGGTGAGAAGCTAGCCTCATTATCTTAATCTAGAGAAGAAAGGAATTATGAATTATATACAGTATATAACGATAACATAAATAAGCTATATCAGTAACACACACTTCATTAATGATGTCTCCTTCGATAATTGCATATATTGATGCATTCTTCTATTTTGCGGTATAAACCGAAGAAGATCCTCCGGAAGCAATCTTAGTAAAATCTCTAAAGTTTTGAGAATTACTGTATAACGACGAATTCTATTGTTATACAAATATTTCTCTAGTCTACCGATATTGGTGGTAGTAGCAATAATAGTAGTATTAGGATGCAGTATTATTGTTAATAAGATAAATGTAAAAATAATAGTATCGGTTTCATGCAAATAGTAAGTAAATGGAAAAAATAATGAATAGATATATATATATAATATTAATTTAAATATGCCCTTCCATCCAAAAAGCTGAACAAAATTAATCCTAAAGATTCTAATCCTCCATCCAAAAAGCCGAATAAAATTAGTTGCACAATCCCTAACCTTCCATCCAAAAAGTCGAACTTCCATCCAAATAGCTGAATAAAATTAAGAATTCTAAGAATACAGTCAGAACTCGATATAACGAACCCTCCGTTCAAGCTATCTTGGGTCGTTTCGATAAATCAAATATTTCTATTATACCGATTAATATATTAAAAAGTATAAAAACGGTATATCTAAAAAAGTATATCAATATAAAGTCAAATTTTATCACCTTAAAATGTGTTTGTAATACTAATAGTTTAATACAATGTTATCATACAGAAACTTGTAAATAGATGCACCGAAATTGAGAATCGGTGGTCTGCTGCGTTGAATAATGCCGGCCGAGACTAAGTTAATTCCGGCCGGAATTAGTATGGTATCGGTTTATCGCGAATAAATAAGTGTGACTTGTTTTATGATTAACTTCGTTAATGTAATATCGCGAAAATTAATAATAAAGTCGGTATATAGTGATATAATTGATTATAGATGGTTTTGGTTTAAGAAAAAAGTTCGTTATGGGCCAAAATCGGTTTATCCCGAATCGTTATATCGAGTTATGACTTATGACTGACTGTATAACTGTTTTCAAAATTGAAAACAGCATTATTTTGACAATCATATTATTATCATTTCAACAAAATTACTAAATTAGGATGTTACAAATTGCAAAATCCAATTAATGAATTCAAAATTAAATATGACGAAAAAAACTTATGAATTTTTAAGTTACATAACTCGGTATAACGGTTCGGGTTAAACTGATTTTGGCCCATAACGAACTTTTTTCCTAACCCAAAACCATCTATAATTAATTCTATCACTATATACCGACTTTAGTTATTATAAATTTCGCGATATTACATATAACGAAGTTAATCATAAACCAGTCATACTTATTTATTCGCGATAAACCGATACCATCCTAACTCCGGACGGAATTAACTTAGTCTCGGCCGGCACTATACGCAGCAGATCACCTGATTACGAGTCTCTATTTCGGTGTGTATGATAACCGATTTTATACGATTTGTCAGGTAGTAACAGAAATAAAATATCAGTAATTAACGTAATGCAACAATAAATCAGTAGGAAATCGATAATAATTGATAAAGAGAAATAGGATAATATTTGAGAAGGGTATAAATATAGGTTTATGGTGTGCAATCGATAAATGACCAACAAATATTTATTAATATATATCGTGTTTTATTAATCCACTAATAAACTAAACTGTATACAACTAAATGATAATAAACGATAAATATAGTTAGGAATCGGTAAGAAACAGTGTATCTTTATTAACAATTGACAAAAATTGGTAAGAAATCGACCATATTACTGCCTCACTCGGCGCTCTGTAATATTCGTTATCCCTTTACAAGGGTTAATTATCACTAATTATTACTTATCTAGTATTCATCTCCCAAAAATCGCTCATTTGTCTTTCCTTTAAATATCTCCTAAAATTCAGTACATTTTTGTCTATCGTTCTACTCGTCCTTTGGCCAATTAGTCCGCAGTACAAATCGTCCTTTGTACATCTTGTCCAAAGTACAAATTGTACCACTAAGCCTCCGATGATCATCCTTCAGCCACTAATTATAAGATACACCAGTTTTCTTTAATTCTATTAGAAATCTGATTTAAATATTGCCTACGTATGATGTGCTATTTGAAAGAAACACTGATAGTATCGATAACGACGTATTTGATGTAAAAACGACGGGATGAATATATATTAATGAAAAGAAAGATTGCTGGTCTAGTAATTTATATACGGAGGATGAAATATTTATACAAACGTTATATAGAAGAAAAATACTCATTAACAGATAAATCTTAATATAAATTTATCTGTACTATTGGACGTGAATTATTAATGTTTCCTAAGAATCAAATATATTGATAAAAAATAAAGCAAAGAAGATGAGAGAAATAACTCGTGGCCTATTTGATAATAATATCTCTAAAATAGCGAGTGTGATAGTAGAAATATAGGAACAGGCATATCTCCAAATTAGAAATAAAATATGGTTAGCACGCGATCGATACAGAAACTGCGAAGCAACTAGTCGTACAGTGCCGACAAAGAAATTTTCTGTGGTTAATTATTTTTATTCTGCTGGTCTTTGTAGAATATTGTTACTTTTTTTCCCTTTCTTTCAATACGTTACTGGTAAATTTCAGACCCAACAAAATTACGCTCATTTCAGAAGTTGGAACTTGGAATCGGTCAATAGAAATCTAAATGGAAATATTAATGTCAAAGTCTTAATTGAATTTCATTTGAAAATTTGCCGTGAAATTTTCAAGAAAAAAAAAAATAATATTGCTATATTTTGTATATTAAATACTGTGTTATTTTTAATAAAATTTATAAAAAAAAAGTGGAAAATAAAACCAACGTATTGTACTTTGTAATTAACCGGTCGATCTTGGACTGAAGCTAAACAGGTTATTACTGGACCGTTAACATAACTTCCTGCATTCGTTATCAAAAGTTTCTTTTGCTAGGAATATGAATTACGTTATCCTGAAATATTGAGCCTGAACCGAATAGACTTAGCCAATAATATGATCAGTTTTTTTTTGGAATAATTGAGTTTGTTTCGCTACGGATAATAAATTGAATGAGTAAGCGAGGAAAATTTAATAAGTTTCAAATAATCAATCAACCAATCATATTAAATTAGAAGATATATCAAAAAATGTTTACGAAAAGTATATGGGACTTTATTAATTATATTAAATATACTGTAAGATAAGTGATTTAAAAATCTAATTTCTCCTAAACAACTTATTTTTCTTAAAATACAATAAATGTGTTTGTATATTACACGTCAGTTGCACTTTTCTGTATATTTTGGACGGTTTAACTTTCTTTTCAAAAGAATGAATGAATAAATTATAAATGCATGATACTATTAGATGTCAAGAAAAAATGATTTATTATTCATGAGTATAAAGGATTAAAATCTTATTTATATATATGAATATAAAAATAATATTATTATTATACAGGAAATTTATATATATTATACATTATACAGCTACACCTTATCTAATATATATTTATCAATATCACGCTTAATCATGTGAATTTCATTATTGATGTCAATGATATGATTATTGATATAAGATAAAAGTGGTTCCCTATCTTTTTCATTCATATTCTCTAAGTCTAAATATAGGCGAGTTGGCTCATTTAACAAGAAATTATCAATTACTTCTCTAATTTTGCTAAACTTACCGGTAAGTAATTTCTTATCTTTTTCACTCATATTCTCTGATGAAAACTCTAATTTTCGTTCTTTTATATATTTATCAAATATTTTTAGATTTTTTCGTTCATTAAACAGGTGGCAATTAATCACATGTTTAATGTTATTAAATTCATTTGCAAGCAACTCCTTATCTTTATCGTTCATCTCAGTTGAAAAATTTGATTTTTGAACAGTTTCCTTATATTTATTGAATTTTTCCTCATCTTTCGGTATATCCAATAGGTAATTAAAAATCACGTAACTAATTTGTTGAAATAAATCGTCAAGCAATTTTTTATCTTTTTTATCTTTTGAAAAATCATTATTTTGAGGAATAACTCCTTCGTCCATATCTTTTATATCTTTTGAAAAATCATCAATTTGAAGAGTATCTCCTTCGTCCATATCTTTTATATCCTTTGAAAAATCATTATTTTGAAGAGTATCTCCTTCGCCCATACCCTTTATATCCTTTGAAAAATTATTATTTTTAAGAAAATTGTATGCATCGAATATTTCCTCAATATCTGGTTTATCTAACAAATGTTTGTCAATCAACTTCCTAATTTTGCGAAATTCGTCATTAAGCAATTTCTGATCTTCTTCACTTATTATATGCAATTCTTCTTTATCTTCGTTTTTCGTATCGTCTGAAAATTTTAATTCTCGTTCATATTTATATTTAGCAACTTTTTCCTTTTCTTCTGATTTACCTAACGAGTATACATCAATAACATGTCTGATTTTGTCAATTTCATCGTTAAGCAATTTCTTATCTTCTTCATTTATATTTGATGATAATTCAAGTTTCTCTTTTTTATATTTATCAAGACATTCCTTAATATATTTTGCATTAAATAACCAGTAATAGAACCCAGTTTTAATTCCGCTAAAAAAAATGTTAATCTTAATAATCACATATTCAATCTTATTTATGAACCCTTTCGGAACTTTGTTCATTTTGTTGACAATATTATTACTTTGATATAACAGATGGTAATAAACTGCATATCTAATATTTCTAAATTCATCTACAAGCATATCCTTATCCTTGTCGTTAATACTTGAAAATTTAAAATCAAGTTTCGGATGAAATCTACTACGTTCAAATAATTCTTTTGAATCTTGTAAGAAATTAACAGATTTATGTACAAAGCCCCGTGGACTTAAACGAGAATCACCAAAAAAAAATACTATAACACCCGCCGTAACGCCTAATGATTATTTAAAAGAAAATCATTAATAAAACTAATTTATGGTTTTAAATTATCAAGTTATTAAAATTACTAACCAAAAGCGCCACCGGCTGCTGCAATCGCACCAAGAACAGTATTCGATCTATATAGGATTTATAAATTAGATGTTAATGCTCGTAATTATCATAACTGAGAATATTGTTAACAGTTAATTTACCGTTCTTCGCTTGTCTGTTCTTGAATAAAGCTTCCAGCAGATACAGAAAAGTAACCAGTTGTTCCTACTGGTATATCAGATGGATTACTATTAAAAGGAAAATAGTTGATAAAATTTTCTGTTTTTGGTGTCACGTGGTAATTGGGCTCTAATCCAAAAATAGCACGAGCATCCTTCGGAAGAATAGACCTATAAGTACTCGTTTTAAACTTGACCTTGAAAATGTATAGCAAAAAAATCAATAAATATGCATGAACTAATTAACTAAACATGTGAAATATCTTACCACTGCAACATATCTGGCCATCCCAGCAATAAAGTTTAATTGAAGCCTAAACTCTGACAAAGTTGCTTCGTCCATTTGGCTAATAGCCTTCTTGTTCGGATTTGTCACTGGATTAAAATCTATTTAAAGTAAAAATAGTTTGAATTAGCAAAAGATAAATCAATATAATTTCCTCCTATAAAAATTTCCCACGTGTCTGAGTTTCTTCGGAATAAAAATTAGAAAAATTATCATTTATCGGAGAATTTTTTTATAGAGTCCGTGCTATTTTTACTTACCAGAAGGAATTATTAGTATGGTTAGTGATGCTATGCCAATAGTGCCTGCCTCTGAAGCGGTTGTGTTATCATAGAAACTGAACCCAATCTCGTCGTATCCACCTATTTCCGGTTTGGTAAATTTGATGGCTTCATTAGCTTTGAAGGTGAGGCAATAATCTTTAAAGACCCCATAATCAGCTGCATTAGGAAGTATATAGTTGTTACAGCCATCAATTCTTTCTCTAACAGTATTATGTGTTTTAAGGTCACAGCGTAAAATTCTCAATTCTGGGGTTCCACATATTGCTATATCTATTATAAATAAAAGAAGTTTGCTTAGCGTAGCCGTTCAATAGTTTAATACTTTAATCTATTAAAGGTAAAATCTTACCAGGGATGTCAATGTCATCCAAGAAGATTTGGTCAACTTTTAAGTTTGGCTTATCATTTATGATGCCAATTATTAAATAACTTAAGTAGAGAATATTCGCGATAATAATTAAAAAGTATAAAATGTAACGGCAAAAATGAATCCGGGGTAATTTGTCTTTCATAATTAATATAAATTTAATAAACAATAAGAAATTGTTAATTTTTGAAAAAACTTTTCAGGCTCTATTTATTATTAATTGGTGTAGTACTTTTAAATCTTGTTTTACAAAAAAAAAAATGATTGTAAAAATTAAATAACGTCTCGTTATAGAATTCTTCTTTTTTTTTTTTTTGATATTAAATATATCAACAGACTAAAATGATTGTAAATTTCCAATAATGAATAACGAATACGTGCATCTAAACTTCCATTACATATATCAGCAGGTTAAAGTAATTGTAAATTTCCAATAACATCCTAATTACGAATTGTTTTTTTATCACTACATTTATTAGTTGGCTAAAAATTTTCTTGGCGGATAAGTGCATATCTACTTACATATATCTTGCAGATTAAGTTCGTTCTTTCGACTATAAAAAGAAAACTGATAACATGTGATTTTTGTCTTAAACAGGAGGCTGAAACCGAATGCATCAAACTGAGTTTCCGATAATTCGGGTCATCCAAATTCAGTAAAACTGAACGGTGCAACTGGGTACAATTGACCTGGTACGGTGGTACCATGTTAAAAGAAATATGAGGTTTTGAAAACAAGAATTTAAATTAAAAAGTTTAATTTTTTTAATACAGTATATGAACATATGTAAAAATTCATAAAAATTGTATCATCCTTAAATTTAACAAATTTTGTCTTGTCTTTTATTATTATTATTATTATTATTATTATTTGATTTCTTAAACTGAAGTTCTTCAATTGACTACCATTAAGGGGTTGAATATTATAAGTAGATTTATCTTTGTCCAGCACATATCCAAAATGTTTTTATAGTTCAACCAATTTTGGAGTTAGTTGAGTTGTTGGATGTCTTCACCTAAAAGCCCAAAATAAAACCGAACTGCATACCCGATCGACAAACTGGGAAAATGGATATTATATTTGAACAGTACCAGAAAATTTTCTGATTAATTATTTTTTGTTCCCGCATCAGCCATACAATTTATGATGCTTATAATAAAGTACTAAAACGAAAAACTTTAATCAATTGACTAAATAAAGTCTTAATATTTTTGAATTTGTAAAATACGCACCTTGTCGATCAAATAAAACTTTCGTTGTTAGTTAATAACCGCCGGTTAATTTACCGTATTAAGACTTTATTTAGGATACAATTTCGACTAATAAATTTGGGATTGTAATTAAAAATTATTTGATGTCATATATACGGAAGTAACCTTGTTTTAAAATATCTAACGATTTCGATAGCATCAGATAATGAAACGGATTTTGTATTTTTCATATCAGACAAATATGCATGCACTTATCCAAATAAATCAAATAAAATAATTGCTTTGTATGAAAAAAATTTTGAACCAAATGAACATCTAATCATGATAAAGTTTTTTATAAATTAATACGGAAAAGTTCTTGTGTATCATAATTCATTTTGATTAAGATCTCCTAATTTAATTTTATACAAAAACAAAAAAAAAAAAAAAAAAAAAT